GGGGGGGGGGGGGGGACATAGCCCTTGAGATAAAAACTCACAGCATATTAACAGGATGGCCATCAACCACGCAAGGAGTTTTGAGAAACGTAAAACCATGAAGCAAATACAAATACTACAGAAGGCAACCACGGAAACAACTCCTTCCTCATTAGTAAAAGCACGTCAAAAGGATAGGTTATGAACTTTTTTCCAAACATAAAATGGATAATAATTGGAAGAAAAGGATTATGTCATGCCGCCACTGACACTAATATTCTTAATGAAAGTATTTGCTATATCTATAGGCAAAGATTGATTAGGCAATACAAAAACATTTATTTTAAGAGGTTTAATCTACTTCCCTCGCATTGGACAAAATGGGGCGTAAATTAATGCTCATGATTTTATCCCTTTCTTTCTATCCATCTCTCTTTTCTCAGCCAAACATTTATGCGGAAAAAAGCTTATGCCTTTTGCGCTCCCTGTATCGCTTTTCTTCAATCTAAAACATCCATAACAGACTTCTACGAATAACCATGTAAACCATAAAGGTAAATTTCCTGAGTATGGTACATTTGAATTAACCAATAAATATGTAATACCAAATAAACCTTCGTAAGATGAACAAAAACAGGCTCATATTGGTTGTACTAATATTGTTATGGAAAACCAAGTCACTCTCAAAGTGTGTTTATATTTTCAGATTATTTTGTTAGTTGTCCACTATAAATACAAATTCAAAAAGGAATCAAGTAAAACGATTTTATATTTTTAACATATTTGAAAAAATTATATTTTTACATAATTTTGTTAAATGTCGCTTTAAATATAGATTCCAAAAAGTGAAAGAAAAAAGAGTGAATTTTCAATAACTTCACATCAAATCAAGAAGAGATAAAAATTATGGGCTTACAAAGATCAACATAATCTCTCAAGGGTATTTGGACTTTATTGATAGTTTCAACTGTAGAATAGATCTGCCACTTCTTGTAGCTACTCATTTAAGCCACACACGAGTGATCAATGCTCTTTCCTTTTCTCTCTTCTCTTTTTCTGCATCACTAATGCTTTTTCTTAATCCGACACTCTTACTTTTCCTTATTTCTGTTTCTTCAAATCCAAACATCTAATATTGTATTAAGTGATTTAAATTTTGAACCAAATACTTATTAGGGCCTGTCTAGGTATCAATCACTTTATCAATATTTACAAATAGTACACTTCAATAATTACAAATATTAGTTTGACCATGAGTATTTGCAAATGTAGTTCAGTAATTGAACAAGAAATGAAATATTGGTTTGAAGGCATCTTTCAAGTGAAATTCTCATTTCCACTCACAAATCTTTAACTTTCTCAAAAAAAGAAAACTTCCCATAAAGCTCTTGCTAAAACACAATATCAACAAACTTTTTTTCAACTTCAAATACTCTTTTTCTAAACCTCAACTCAAGTATTCTCCAAACGCCTACTTAATAACTTGAATCGATGAAAAAAATTAAGTAACCAGGCTCGGCTAGATTGCAAAGATCTAAGAAGTAAAAAGAAGGCTGCCGTGCCATAGATCCAAAAAGATCGCAAATATTCAAGCACAAGCGCATTATATAATCCAAATCACGAAAACTAACTTCAGGCCACCGAACGAGGGAATGCACACACATCATCCAGGTCTTAACTAAAATCGAGCTAATATATGATCAATGACAGTGCACTGATGCATAGGTCCAGAGGCGCAGAAATGTAAAATTCGAATTCGCAAATCACAGTAATGCTTGAATCGCTTCAAGCAAGAGCGAGGAGAAACAGAGATCAACAGTGCATACAGTTTGAAATGAATAATAAAAAAAGATGGATTCGTCGTAAAGAAGGATTTAAAAGAGGACCTGGAGAGTACGAGTGGCGAATTCAACGCCGATAGTAGATTTGGACTCCAAGCAAAACTCATTTCTAGTGAATCTGGAGAGCAGGTTGGATTTGCCTACTCCTGAATCTCCGATTAACACTATCTTGAACAAGTAATCGTACTCCTCGTCCGGTCTCCTCGCCATCTCTATTTCTCTCTCTCTTTCTCACACACACTCTCGCTCTCTCTCTCTCTCTAGAAAAATCCTTTGCTTGAGAGCACTCTCTTCGTACGATTGTTGAGTAGATGGTGATGGCAATGAAGAGTGAGTTTTTACCCGAAATGACTCCAGGATCTGCGGTTAATGTGAGTTGTAATGACAAATATACCCTTGGACTGCTTTTGACTTCTTTGAATGTGTGTTTTTCAAACTTTTTGACGCATATAGTCACAAACTTCGTCGGAGCTATGATCTCTGCTTTTGCGGAAGAAACGTCACACTTACGGCAGTCATTTGGGTTCAACGCGTTTTCAAACAAAAATTAATAAATAAACGAAAAAGAGAAATAGGGGTGTTTCCAGCACATCGTTGAGAGTAATCCTCATAGGGGGCAAATCATGAGTTATCCTCATAAAGACCTCATCTTGAAACATGTAATCGAGTGACGTAACTCTCTAAGGTAATTAAAAGGGACAGTTAATTCCTTGAATCCAAGTTATAGAAATGACTTGTGTATCGGTCAAAATTAGATCAGAGAAATTCGTCATCAATGGACGTGGTCGGACATGCCAAGGTCGGACCGTCATCAATGGACGTGGTCGGACATGCCAAGGTCGGACCGTCATCAATGGTCGTGGTCGGACATGCCAGGGTCGGACCGTCATCAATGGACGTGGTCGGACATGCCAAGGTCGGACCGTCATCAATGGTCGTGGTCGGACATGCCAGGGTCGGACCGTCGTCAAACATCTAGTTTGCTTTGGAAAACTCAAAAGGAATATTCTACCGAATATTCCCTGTAAAGTGTACCTTTTTTAGGATTTTCTATGAATATCCCCCCTTATAAATAGGAGGAGAGGACTTCCCAAAAGGAGGGGGCTCCCGCTCGGTCTCCCTCTCCCTCTTTCTAGAAAATATGTAAACACATCTCTCAAAAGAGAGAAGAGGATCTGTGATCCAAAACCTTCATCAGATCCAAAAAGGGTCCAATGGTTCTTGTATTTCGTCTATCATTCATCTTTATCAAATGAAAGAAGATCCGACTAACTCAAGATCGGGTGAATCTTTTCCTTTATCTACATTTTATTGACATTTAATGTTATTCAATGCATCTTTCTTTATGTTATTAAATCTGGCTATAATCACGCCCAATATTTATACTCGACTATGTTTTTCTACTCATATTATTCGTCTCAGATCTAGAGTTAATTATCTTTAACTAGGATTTACCCCTTCATCTATTTGATTGATTTTCTTAAAAAATGTTAAACAACTTTTGAGTCAAACAACTTGCTCCCTCCGGTTGACCAATTTGCTTTAGGCATATCCATTATGAAAAAACTAAAATTCTAGACAAAAATAGTTAGTGTGATTAAATTATCCTTAATTTAATGTTGCAGCATAGTTATAGTAGCACTTACTTCTCTTCTCAAATGTGAGGATTAAATGACTTTTTAGGGGCACGTACATAAGGGTAATTTTGAAAAAATAAATTGAATTTTTTCTTGATTATATAAATGGACATTTATTTTGGACCAAAATAAAAAAGCAACTTGGTCATTTATTATGGATCGGAGGAGTAGTAAAGTTCATTGGGTTACTCGAGAGGAATTTTTAAAAAGAACTCCTCAAAAATTAAATGGTTCAAGTGGATGAGGCCTTTTTAATTTTTTCAAAACTTGTGGGTCAACTATAAGGTTTGAAAAATAATATTTCTCTCTTTATTTTCTGCCCAAATTCTCTGTCATCTCTCTACTCTCTGCTCTCTCTTCTCTCTCTCACTCAACCCTCTCGACCACGGTGATTTTTGGCGGGAAGGGACAATAATCAAGCTTCGATTTTGGGTGGAATCATCTCTATAGACCCGACAAGCACTGTATTGTTGCTCGAACGCGTCAATTTTGGTAAATCCTAATTTTTTTCCGTTTCTTACATTTGTGATTTTGAGTTTTGTAGAGTGATTCGTTCATGTGCATGTTCAAGATTAATTGGTTTGTGTATAACCATATCTTATATGGCGTGGGTGGTTATATTTGCTTCTTGAACTACCTCTGTGCTCTGTATTTTAGAATTTTATCGTAATTGGCGACCTAATGTTTATTGATAAACCTGTGATCGATTGTCTTCTGGTCATAGATGTTTGCTAGAATTGGGGCTTATTTTTCTTATTCTGATCATAAGTTTCAAATTGTTAAATATGGCCTTGCATATTTGCATGTAGGTAACATGAGGAAGAAATCAAATAAGAAGCATATTAGAGGGTGTTGATGAGGAGGAGGAAGAAGACTTGGACATAAATGCATAACAAACTCAAATGGAAGAACAAGTTTCCGAAAAAATAATTGTAAAAAAAAGGACAGTGATGATGAATCTTTAGGCGGGGAGGATGATGAAAATGGCGATCATGCTTCTCAAGAGGTTGATAAAAATGCTGAAGAAGAAAAAGAAGAAGATGAAGCGGAAGAAGTAGATGATGAAGATGATGAACAACTTGAAGATGTTGAAAATGGGCTGGAAACTGAAACACATGCAGTAGTTGAAGGTGACCAGGATGCTATGTCAATTCCTATGTTTGTAAGGGCGATCGATGCATCTAAATACAAATTCAGGACTTTTCTAAGAAAGCATAGACGTTTTTCGGCCAAGATTAGTGTCAGGTCTAGGATTTGTATTCCATGAGTTCAAGGATAAACTTAGAACAATCAAATTGATGGAAAAGTTTAATAGTAGTTATTATAGATAGTTTGCAAAACTTTCAGAGCATAGGACACGGTTGTTGTCCATTCCCTGCTGATTCGCCGAATTTATTGCACGAAGAAGCGCGAGTTATGATTTTTAGTTGGAGACAAGCTTGTTCACTTTGGATTAAAGGAGTTTGCTATGATGACTGGATTGAACTGTGGTGCCAAACCCAGTAAAGAAGAAATGAAGAAAGTAATGGACGACGGCGAAGCATTCTGCGATGAAGTTTGTTTGTCTAGCAGGAAGGGGGTGGATGCAGAGCTGCTTTTGAAGCAAGTGAAGTCCAAAAGGTTTGACACATTCGAGAGGTTGAAGATTTCATTGGTGTGGTTTGTCCATTCAGTCTTGCTTGCAAGGGATAACATAGCGCACGTCGATAAGAAGTGGATTCGTATGGCTAATAATTTGAAAGATTTCATGAAATATCCATGGGGCAAGGAGTGTTTTGAGCTTACAATTGAATACTTGAAGAAAGACATGTTGCCAATGTACAAATCATATGTGAGTAAGAGAAAGAAAAATAAAATCTCTGGTAAAAAGTCCAAATCGGCTAGTTATGCCCTGTACGGCTTTCCATGGGCATTCATGGTAAGTATTAAAAAAATCTTCTCAAAATTTTTTTACAATACTATTAATTTATTTACTGCAGATAGAAATTAATATTTTTTGGTTCATGAAAAAATTTAGGCATGGGCGTACGAAGCAGTTTTGCTATTTGGTCATAGTGCCAAGAAATCAAAGGTCATATCGATGTCGCTACCAAGGATGTTGAGATGGCACAACAAGAAAGTGACATCTGACCCTGATCGCGATCCCTTTAAGAAAAAAGTTGATGACCCTAGTGTGATAAGATAGGGAGTGCAATAACACTCCACCAGTAGATTAGAATCAACCAAAATAGAAGGTTGTCTATTTTTTGTATTGCTTCTCTATTGACTTCTATCTATGCTATATTTTAGGAGGTGCACCCTTACCTTATTCCTACCCTACGTGAGATGGATATAGAATACATGAAGAATTTATTACCATACGACGATGAGGCAACGGATTCTATAATCGACCAGCTAGCGGTTGATTTGGAATAGGTGATTGCCATTAAAAAGGCACCTGGTGCAGTGACCTTAGAGACTAATGATGAAGTTGACTTCGCTGATGATGACCCTTTGAGTGGGAGTATTCCTAGTTCACACTAGTTGGTGGTTTTTATGATATTGGTAGAGGAGGATCATGCAGGATGTGCTATGCCCAACTAAGTGATATATACGTGTGCGAAGAGTTAAGGTTGTGAATGACAAATTGGATAAGGTGTTGAATGTAAGGCCCCGTTAAAATTTTCTAATGATTTAAGATTTAAAAATGCGCCGTCGGTATTTGGGAATAACATATTCGAGTATTAGAGGAGACCTATGGGATAGAACCACATGATTTTTAAATAAAAATATATGTTTAAGGGTGTTGGAACATAATAAGGAGTTTTGTGAATGGGAAGAATTTGTGTGTAACAAGTTGGATACATTCAATGGAAAGAATGCTATTATGTAAGCATAGTTTCATACTTGTATAAAGGTTTGGAAGTCAATTCGGGTCTATATCATAATAAGGTATCAATTAGGGTGAGTGTAGAAGCAAGAAATGGAAAAAAAGAAAATAACTGGGAGCGTGCTAGGGACAGTGCGACGCGTGGATTGTGGCACGCCAGCCCTCTCAGCAACTTTGAAAACCAGTGAAGTATAGGCATTTGGTGCTGGCACTGACACGCTACCCCCACCTGAAGCCTTTTTAAGTACTCGCCTTCTAGGTTCATTTCCCCCATTTCACTTGGACGAATTTTGGATCTCTTCTCCATTCTCTCAAGACCACCAACTCCTCTCTTCTTCAAGGTAAGAAATCCCCATTATCTTGGTGTGAAATTACATCATTTCTACACTAGTGTTGATGAAATCTACACATGGAATCTTTATATTTTCAAGAAATTTCTTCAAGAACTCAAAGGGGCGGTTTTGCAAGATATCTTCCAAAAGGTAATCCTACACCCTTAGACTTGCATGCATGGATTTATTATGGAAATATGAGTAGGAATTAAGTATTGGGACTCATGGAATGGTGATTGGAAGCCATAATTTTCCAATTTAAATACATAACCATCATAGAGATTGAAAGGTAATTATTTGATGAAATTTTGTTGGTTGGGTGTGGATGGATGGTCATGCATGCGATGTTAGTTATAAAATGTTCAAGAATGATGGTGGGATAAATTGTTGGTAGTTGGATGAACCAATTCTATGGCTATAAGATGTAGAGATTTATGCCTACTATGTGTTTGATAAAGTGTCTAAATGGCCTAAACTATGGAATTTGTTACTAATGATGGTCCCATTGGATGTTAATATTGTAGATTGAAGTTGCTTAGTGTAGTGGATCGTTGTAGTATCATTAAGGGACGAATTTAAGGTATGTTGGCTAAATCCCCTTCTTCTTAGAATCGAATCCCCCGGTGTCATGTAATTGGTGTAAGTCCCAAATTGATCATCATAGAATGAGCTATTCCGAATGTGTTTGTGTTGAAGAATACATGTTCAATATTTATTCTAAATGCTTTATCATGTCATTTTGCCATTTGAGGATGTGTTCAAAATGTGGAATATGTGTTAAGAAATGTTAAGACTTCATGTCAAAGTTGAATAAAGGTTGTTATGCCAAAGTGTATGAAAAACCTCTATGCGCTTAGGATTCCCAAATTGCTCATATGTGTACTAATGTCTTAAATGATAGGCCTTAGTGTTGTTGATGATGATAATGATATTGAATGTAAAAGGGGAAACTGAAATTGTGAAATTCGGCCAAGTGCCAAGAATGACTTTATAAATGAGGCCACTTGTGCCAATGTATTGAAAAGATGGGAAAGGAATATGAAGTGAGATGATTGATTGAAAGGATGTCTCGAGTGAGACGGCCTAGCCGATCGGACCGTGATCGGACGCCATGCCGCACACATGGTGGTAACTGTGCTGGAAATGATAATTGAAATTGTGGATATGGTTGATGTCTCAATTGAGATAACCTAGCCGATCGGTTCGATATCGGACTCCGTGTAAGAACACGGTGGTATTGTGGATTGTGGCATATCGGCATTAAAGATCACCCAACCTAGTAACGTGGAAATTGGCTTGAAAATCTATGTGATCCTTAACTTGATGTTTTAGTGTTATTTGAAGCTCATATTGCATTCTTGACTGTTTTCCCTGTATTACTATTCATTCTATTAAGATTGTGTTTAGTTAACGTCCCTTTTGCCGGGGGCGCTGCATCTTTAAATGGATGCAGGTGGTTCCATAGCAGACAGTGTTGGTCACAGATAGTGGTGCATCCTCTTTCAAGCGGACTCAGTGAGCCCCACTTCATCCCGGGGTCATGTAGTTGTCACATTTTAAGGTATAGCCGAGGCCTTGTTGCCGGCATTATCATAACTCTCTTTTGTACTTTAGAGGCTCCATAGACACTATGCGGGTTGTATATGGGTGTTAGAAAGGTCAAACGGGTTATGTTGTATTTTGGACTCTTGTTCCACTCGATCATAAGGATGTGTGTATCTTGAAACTTAACAATGATGTAACTAATGAAATGATTTAGTAATGTATATATGCCTTATCTTGATCATAAGTGAGTTGGGTAGAAAGTGTCTAACAGGCTTGCTCGATCGGTTCCACTCGGTTGAGCGCCGGTCGCGCTCCCCAAGGTTGGGGCGTGACAAACTTGGTATCAGAGCCTAAGGTTTTAAAGTGCCCTAGGATGTCTTGGACCCATGTCTAGTAGAGTCCTTCTTATCGGTATATTGTCGACCACATCTATTAGTTGGAGGCTACATGGACATTTAGGAATGTTACCCTTCTTTAACACTCCAGATCGTGCGTTAAAGCTTGACTAAAAGATTATCTTCTAACTGGTGCGTATAGATTCAAGGTAAGTTTAAACGCTATTCGTCTATTCCAAGTAATGTTGTCATATGACATGACCAATGGGCAAAGGCATGAATATTAAGGAGATGGAACATGTATCTTGTTGAACGAATGGTATAGGCATATAGGATAAGTACATAGTACCATGAGCATAATTTATTCGAGAAAAGTGTTAAAAATGATTACCCACCTCCAAAGAGACATTGATTTGATGAGACGTAAGCTTGAATAGCACACGTGGGTAGTGTGGGAAGCATGTAAATGATCTTAAGGTGTGAAAGAAAATTGGTTATATAAGCACGTGATATATGGGAGGCATGACCAGGAGATTAATGATGAGAGAGTAAGTCTCTCCCAGGAGGCAAGAAGTTAGAAAGGAGAGTCAATTGAACCCACGATGAGAAGACCCTTGTACTAGGAAATTTATAAGAATCCAAAAATTTACGAAGTTGTATTACACTCCTAAAGGATATTGACACCACGCGTGGCTGAATAAGAGCAGAGAACTTATGAGGTTAATATCATGGTGACTTAAATCTCCCTAATAGTCAAACATATATATGAGGGATAGAGACATGAGACATATGTCCCTGAAGTTACTAAATTCTAGTACTTGTGTCGAAATCCGGGACATTCGCCCCAAGTGGGGGAGGAAGGGCCATAGTGAGGCCACTTAAATACAATGAAACAAGAGTAAGACCGTGTAGCTATGATGTTTGAATATTTTGTTGGAGACAGGTGTAGTCTAGAAAAGAGATAATTGGTAACGTGATTCTCTGAAAGGATATGCTAATGATAGATCACTAGTACCCCAAGAAGGTGGACGGTTAAGGAAGGTAAATTCTTCATACATGGCAATGTGAATGACAGGGTCAACGATCCTAGAAACTAAGATAACATTTGTAAAGGGATTTTATACTTGTTAGAGGGTCAGGATCAATGGAACCCAATGAAGTACTATAGGTCAAATGTGAAAGGTTGCGAGTTTTTAGAATGGGTTAATCATGGATTTGTGATTTAACCAAAGTTCCAAGGCATTAATAAAGAGGGAACAAGTGGGAGAAATAAATGTGATGCTATAATAACCCAAGAGGGTATTTGGACTTGATGGAGAGCCTCTTAAGAATCTTACAAGCAAGGAAGTGTTAAGTAATACGCGGATGAACACAGTTTCCCACGGATATCCCAACAAGTGTTGAGAGGTGAGCGGGATGAATTCCCAACTAAGAGAAAAGACCTCGTAACATATGGAAGAGTGCATAACTATTCACTAACTTGGAAGAATGAGGCGAGAATAAATGGGAAGAAATCTATAAATTGAGATGGTCATGGTTATCATAAATAGTTCATATTAGAATGGTGGACTTGCTTAGAGCACAAGTGTTAATAGAAGGTATATAGGACTAACCGTAATGCAACCAACTTGGGTGACACTGAATATCAACTAAAAGATCTAGAGAGAGTTCATGTCTACATATTACAAGGGAAAGTGAGACTACTTGTGGTATGATAAACCCAACAAACCAGGCACAATGATACTACGAGTTCATGGGAGGGAGACAAGAGTGTGGCACAATTGGGCTATCAACTCCGCACTATGAGAAAAATGCATGGAAATGGATATTCCAGTTACAAAGAGAGATGGTACCAACATATTTCCCAGGCTAGAGGGCAATCAAAAAGGGAAAGGCAACACAATCTACCCAAAGGGCAAAAGAAAGGTTCGAAACAGATTGATAGAGGATGAACACTTGTTATGGACCAGACATGTTTAACATGGTAGCTCTTAAGCCGCAATATCAGGGAACTCTATCAGTAGCTACAATACGGGGAATGAGGTGAGTTACTCATCGAGGATGGAATCAGGTGAACTAAGTCTTACACGTAAGAGTCAAAACAAAAGTCGTTGTTGAAGAATTGAGGAGGATCTCAAGTTTCAGAGAATGCCCTGTTCGGGCAGTGACTCTTCTTGAATTGTATATATAAAGGGTGTTGATATGTGCTTTGGGAGGTGTTTAATAGTAAATAGGGATCGTGAGAATGTTCACAAGGGAAGTAGAGCAGTTTCTTAAATTTTATAAGGCACATAAGGGGAGAAGAGGTTGGCTAAGAAAAGTCTGAGCACAATGTTACCTACATTTGATGCAATGTCGTGTAGGTTGATGTTATCAGGGTATGTGCGCAAGCTAGCAGATGTTATTCATTTTAATAGAATGTCCTATGACAAAATTCATTTAGTAATGTCTTTTGTTGAGAATTTGGAAGAGCGAGTTGCAAGTATATACATAAGATTGTAACCATATCAGGGAAATTATTATAGAACTCAATTCCTAGGAGGTCTTATGTAAGAGAAATGTGATAAAGATGTTCCGCTAATGGTGCAACATGGTAAGGTGATAGTTTATGCCTCTAGACAACTCAAGTATCATGAAAAGAACTATGTATCACATGACATAGAACTTGCAGTAATGGTATTTGCATTAAAAATTTGGCGCCATTGTCGGTATGGGGTCCATGTGGGTATAGTCAGGGACCATAAGAGCCTTCAATATATTTTCAAACATAAGGAATTTAATTTGAGGAAGAGAAGATGGCTGGAGTTACTCAAAGATTACGACATCGATATTCTATATCACCAGGGAAAAGCCAATGTCGTGGCAGATGCTCTTAGCCGGAAATCTAGTTTGGCTCACTTGGAGGCACATCAAAGGCCGTTGGCCAAGGAGGTTCATCGGTTGGCTAGCTTGGGAGTTCGTCTTGCGGACTCTAGTGAAGGCAGGGCAATTGTGCAAAATAGGGCTGATTCATTGCTTGTGGTGGAGGTCAAAGAGAAGCAATACGACAATCCATTGTTGGTACAGGGTAAGGAGGGGATTCATAGACATAAGACCACAACTTTTTCTCTTGGCATGGATGATGGTACACTACGGTACCAAGGAAGACTATGTGCTCCAAATATAGACGGTCTTCGGGAAAGAATCACGGCTGAAGCTCACACTTCTAGTTATTCTGTAAACCCAGGTTCTACAAAAATATATCATGATCTCAAGAAAGTCTACTGGTGGAACGATATGAAGAGGAATGTAGCGGACTTTGTGGCAAAATGTCCGAATTGTCAGCAAGTAAAGGCCGAACATCAAAGACCTGGTGGGTTGGCACAAAACATAGAAATTCCAATGTGGAAGTGGGAAATGATTAATATGGACTTTGTGGTAGGACTACCACGCACTCCTTGCAAGTTTGAATCAATTTGAGTAATTGTGGGCCGACTCACAAAATCAACACACTTCTTGCCAGTTAAATCTACCGACACAGTGGAACAGTATGCTCAATTGTATATTAAGGAAATAGTCAGGTTGTATGGCACTCCAGTTTCTATCATCTCTGATCGTGAGGCACAGTTCAGGGCTAATTTTTAGAAGAAATTTCAGCAAGGTTTGGAAAAATGTCCAAATTGCCAGCAAGTGAAGGCCGAATATCAAAGGCCCGATGGGTTGGCACAGAACATAGAAATTCCAATGTGGAAGTAGGAAATGATTAACATGGACTTTGTGGTGGGACTACCGCGCACTCCGCGCAAGCTTGACTCAATTTGGGTGATTGTGGATCGACTCACGAAAGTTAAATCTACTGATATAGTAGAACAGTATGCTCAGTTTATATCAAGGAAATAATCAGGTTGCATGGCACTCTAGTTTGTATCATTTCTGATCAAGGGACACAGTTCACAACTAATTTTTGGAAGAAATTTCAGCAAGGTTTGGGTACTCAGGTGAATCTTAGTACAACCTTTCATCCACAGACCGACGGGCAGGCAGAGCGGACTATTCAGACGCTAGAGAATATGTTGCGAGCTTGTGTTCTTGACTTCAAGGGTAGCTGGGATGACCCTTTGCCACTCTTAGAATTTGCTTACAACAACATCTATCATCCTAGTATTCATATGGCACCATTTGAGGTGTTATATGGTAGGAGATGTAGATCTCCAATTGGGTGGTTCGAGATTGGGGAAGCTGAATTGATAGGACCAGACCTCGTACATCAGGCTATGGAAAAGGTTAAGATCATTAACGAGAGGTTGAAAACGGCTCAGAGTCATCAAAAGTCCTACTCGGACGTTCGTCATAGAGATTTGGAGTTCAAAGAAGATGATTGGGTATTCTTGAAGGTCTCCCCAATGAAAGGTATAATGCGGTTTGGAAAGAACGGGAAATTAAGTCCGAGGTATGTCGGACCGTACAGAATCATTCAACGGATTGGTCAGGTGACGTACAAGCTTGAGCTACCACCTGAGATGTCATTAGTGCACCCGGTATTTCATGTATCTATGTTGAAGAAAGTAGTCAGAAATTCGTCGCTTATCGTACCAGTTGAGACTATTGAGGCTAATGAAGAACTGTCGTATGAAGAAATTCCAGTTGCCATTCTTGATAGGCAAGTCCGGAAGTTGAGGAATAAAGAAATTGTCTCCGTGAAAGTGCTATGGCGAAACCAGCAGGTTGAAGAGGCTACTTGGGAGGTAGAGGAAGAGATGAAGAAGAAGTATCCTTATTTGTTTGAATAGCTATGTAATCTTTCTATGAAATTGTCACCTATGAATTTTGTATCAATTGTACAGGTGATGTTAAAGGTGTTCGTTTCTAGTTATATGTTGTTTAACGGTTGGTGTTGTTTTGGTGTTATGTTATGTCATTGGATTGTGTATATGTTGTTAGAATGTATTTCTGGGGTTCTCTGGCAGGTGGATAGGCCCAATTACAAGGGAAACTCTACCGAAATTTCTGGAAAATTTGAGAGATAGTCAAAATTTTGGGAGCTTGAGGTGTGTGAGAAAAGAGTTAAGTTATGTTCCGTGTTGGAGGCAAACTTCTCATTCGAGGACGAATGATCCTAAGTGGGGGAGAACGTACCACCCCGAAAAATTTTGAAGTATTTAAGCGCTATTAAGAAAGTTGATGTGTGCTAATTATATTATTTTGTGTGAATTCAAGGACTATTAATATGATGGATATCAATTGGATATGATAATAAGTGTACGAGGCATATTATAAGTGATGTGATGTCTAAGGAGAGGCCTAAGTCTAAGCCAAGTTTGAAAGTTACATGATAGACTAAAATTCCAAATGAGTACGCACAAGACCAAATTTTGGACGAGAATATATATATATATATATATATATATATATATATATATATATATATATATATATATGTTATGTGATGAACAAACTATCAAATTAAAGACTTCGAATCTAGTTTCTAAAGCTTTAAAGCGTTCGTCATTTGGACACTCCTACAAGAAGTTATGACCAAATTACCAAAAGCTGGAAAAATTATGCACTACCGCCCCGCCCCATGCGGCGCGGTTGTGCAAATTTCCAAAACACTTCAAAATTTCGTTTCTAGACACATTTCTCACTACCGCGCCGTCCCATGTGCCGTGACTGTGAAAATTTGGATTTTTTTTATAACTTGACCCCCATTTCGTTAAATAGAAGCAATGGGCCATTTCTTGAGCTAAAACCTGATATTTTTAGAGTGAGAGAGTACCCTAGAGTGTGAAAGTGTTCCCCAACAATTGTTCTTCAATTCTTACTCAAATCTTGGAAGATTAACAAGGAAAACCCACAAGGTCTTCACCCTAAAGGTAAGATTCTACACCCTAACCCTCAATTTTGAATTTTATCTAGAATTGGGTAATTAGTAAGATAATTTTTGGGCATGGGAGTTGTTCGTCTTGTATGCACGTGTTATCAAAGGGTATAAGAATACTGATGAGCTAAGAATGGTAGATAATGGGTTTAGGATGATGGAATCCACCATAGGAGGACTTTGAAACCATAATGCACACCTAGTGTTTGATAAAATGATCAAATGAGATAGAACCATGATCATCTTCCTAATTTTGGTTCAATTTGTTATATTTCTAAAATAAATTGAAGTTGCTAATAAATTCCGGAATATTTTAGAGTTTGAGGAAGCTCAATTGAGGTATGTTGGCTAAACCCCCTTTCTTAGAATTGAATTTCACGGCGTTCATGTAAGTTATGTAAGACCCGAGTTGATCGTTGTGAAATTGGCTATTCCGAGTAAACTTATGTTGAAAGATATATGTGCAATATGTGTTCCAAATGCTTTTATCATACTATGCTATCATTTGAGGATATGTTCAAAGTATGGGTTGTGTGTTATAAATGTTACGACTTCAAGTCAAGTTTGAATAAAGGTTATCATGCCAAATTATGTGAAAAATATCTATATGTCTAAAACTCTTAATTGCTCACATGTGTATCTAAAGTCTTGAATTGAAAAGTCTTATTGTTGATAATAATGATGATGTGTGAAAATAAAAAGGGGAACATGAAATATGAAATATGGCCGATTTCCAAGCATGATATTATAATTGTGGCCACTAGTGCCGATGAACTGAAAGATGTGAAAGAAATATTAAGTGAGATGTATAGAAAAGGGTAATATCTCGGGTGAGACGGCCTAGCCGATCGGACCGTGATCTGACGCCATGCCCCACACATGATGGTGATTGTGCTAGAAATTGTAATTGAAATTGTGATTGTGATTGATGTCTCAAATGAGACGGCCTAGCCGATCGGGCCGTGATCGGACTCCGTGTAAAGGTATAGTGGTATTGTGAATGATGGCATATCGGTACTAAAGGTCTCCCAAACTAAAAGCGTGGAAATTTACTTGAAAACTTATGTGTTTCTTCACTTGATGTTTGGTATTGTTTGAGGCTCCTACTAATTTCATGATTGTTCCTCCTTGTATTATTATTCATTCTATTGAGATGGTGTTTAGTTATACATACTAGTACTATCCGACAGTACTAACGTCCCTTTTACCGGGGTGAACCTTTAGTAGATGCAGGTGGTTCCACAGTAGGCAGTATTGTGCAGTGATAGCAGTACACCCTCCTCCCAGCAGACTTGGTGAGCTCCACTTCATTCCGAGGTTATATATCTTTATTTCATTAAATTTCTCACGTTTTGAGGTATAGCTGGAGCCTTGTCGCCGACACCACTATTGTACTCTTTGTAATTAATAGAGGCTTCGTAGACATAGTGTGGGTTGTATATGGGTGTTGGAAAAGTCAAACGAGTTATGTTGTGTTTGAATCATTTATTCCACTTCAGACTATGAAAATGCGTGTATTTTGAGACTTTAAAATGAAGTAACTAATGGAAATGATTTGATATTGTATACACGATCCCCGTATTGCTTGATTAATGAGAATATGCCTTCTCTTTATTCATGAGTGAGTTTGGGTAGAAAGAATCTAATAGACTTACTCAGCTGGGTTCACTCGGTTGGGCGCCGGTCGCGATCCCTGAGTTTGGGGTGTGACATATATAGGTTGGGGCCAAAGTGTAATAACTGAAACTTTAGGAATAAAGACTGAACTTTTTCCCTTCACTTTATAATCCCACTTAAGCACTAATTAACCATGAAGATTAATTCTGCAATGATTAAAACTTGAAGGTTACTTCTTCGCATGCTTGAGCACATCCCCTTTGTTTGTTTTATAGTACTAAATAGAGTAACTCATCTTTTATCAATTATCCCACAAAATAATTTCTCATGAAAAGCATTAGAAAATAACATGGATGATCTCTTAAGTTTGAGAAAATGTTTAAAGCCGTCCTATATATATATATATTGAAGTCTTTAAACATTATTAAAATTGACTAATTTTCAGTTGAAAGAATTACTAAAAAATACACCTGACTTCATATTATAACAAAAAATGGCCCACATTTTTTATACCCGACCTAACCAATATTGTACATATTTTAAAAGCACTACCAAATGCATCATCTGACAGCCATTGCTTCAAAATTCGATTTCTTACAACCACTGCTTCTAAAAGTGATGGAGTTAAATTTAGTTAGTCAAGTTAGCCTCGTGGCTTTTGAGACTCTTCATGATTTAGTTTTTAAATTTCTGTTCTTTAATCTTTGAGTTAAATTTAGATGTGGGTATCTAGAGCTTGTTATTTGTTTGGATTGAGTTTTGTTCCAATTGATTAAAAACATCAAGAGAAGTTCAAAACTTAAATATGAAGTGATTTGCAGTAGATATTAGCTAGATTTGAGTTAAATTTCAGAAGAGGCTCAAGGAAGAAGACGAAGTCAAATTTTTTTTATAATAGTGTATAATATTGTATAATAGTGTATATGGGTGTATAAACACCTCTTGTACACCATTGTATACTTATATACATCTTTATACAAGCATCTGTGATGAATTTCTTTCACGATTTAATTACAATTCTTGTTCAAAACTAATCCAAATCTCCATTAAATAATTTTAAGTTTTGTATACAACCTTCTTATACTATTTCTAACAAGTCTAAACAATACCCACCCTAAATTTCTCACAAAACCGGATTCATAATTTAAATCCACTTATTTAAGTTTGTTCAACAATGGTGGATTACCTTAAAAATCTAATTTCTACCATCCAAATGGATTTTGTTAAACGAATATTTGAGTCACAATTACTGATTCAAAAATTGGATTAGAAGTTTAAATATTTTTCTTAAATTGAATAGCGATTTCGAGAACCTTTTGGAAATCGGATGTTGAATCTTAGCCTATTATTTTCGAGCTACAACTATGCAAAGTTAAATATAGGCCACCTAGTTGTAATGTATGTGTGTGAGTTGTACTTATGTGTAATTCTACCAATCTTTGCAATTATGATTTAAGTTTTTTTTTTAATTTTTCTTAATAAATAATACGAAATATTCATTTGCGCAACAATTGGAGGATACATGAGACAATATCATTTTTTTCCAAATCTGATCCAAAAAGTTTTGAGAGCACTCTCCGGAGTCCCGACTTGTCACGACCCGGAATCCCAACCTCGGGGTCGTGATGGCGCCTAACATTCACTTGCTAGGAAAGTCGATGTGAAATAATAAAATAACCAATTTAACAGTTAAAAACACAATAGTGATATACAACGAGAAATAGAAACCCAGTCTAATAGAGTACTGATATAAATCACATGATAATATCTACTCGCAGAAATACGGAGTCATGAGTACACGAGCAACGAGAAGTCTACAAGAAAAATCTAAAATAAATACAACTGTTTCGAAAGAAATGAACATTAAAAGTGGTGTAACGACATGTCACGACCCAAAAAAACCAACCCGGTCGTGATGGCGCCTATCGTGGAACTAGGCCAGCCACTTATTCCCAATTACTCTATTTTCCAATTAAAAGCTTAAGAAAACATCATGTTTTAACATAAATCCAATGATATAAATATAGAAGTTCCAAAACCAGCGGAAAAAATATACAAGCCCGACCTCGGGTGTCACCAGTCATGAGCAAAAACTACTACAACTGTTCGAAAACACAAGACTAGTACAATCTGAAAATATCCAACATATAAACTAGAGGAAGATAGGGAAGGAAAAGGCGGAACTGCGGTTGCCAAGCAGCTACCTCGAAATCTCCAAGTGAAAGTCCGCACAATATAATCAGCAGCTGCTACCGTGACCCGAGACACTTGGATCTGCACACAAGGTGCAGGAGGTAACCTGAGTACACCAACTCAGTAAGTAACAAGTCCAACCCATGGACTGACAGGTAGTGACAGACCAAATCTCAACAGGTAATAACATATATCTGAACAGGAAAAGTAGCCATGCTTACAATTCAAGTAAAGTTCAATAGTATTTAAATGCAACTGAACAGTACGAAGTTCAAAACTCAGAGATTTTACATATACCAGTGCACAACTAGCATGATCAATGTTCCATGAACCTCCACT